TTTAGGGGGCTCCAATAAAACAGATTTACTAACCTGATCCTCAGTCCCATGGTGGTCAGCGCTCACCTCTCTCCCCCTGCTATGGAAGGTCCCTTGGCATCTTCAAGTCTAAGGCAAGTCAATGGACCTGGATAAGATGTGATGACGTCAGCATTCCTTAGACTGTCAGAGCCTGGGGGGGGGGGGGGGCCAGAAGAGGCTGCGGGGACCAGTCTAGTAGTTCCCGCGGGACCGAGCATCACATAAGTAAAACAGCTTCATTTGAGTCCCCTAGACAACACGAGCACTTGGCCCCACTGCAAGGTTACGTTTTTGATTTGCCCAATTCTTCTTTAAAGCTGGACGCACATGTTAAATATTTGATTGTACATTCTCCATTAGATTTACCAACGTCTAAGGGTAACCACATGTTCTGCTTTGATTGTACAATCGTCATAAGATCTACCAAAACCATGTAGTAGAGGCCCTGCAAAAAAATTTTATCCATTTCTTACCAGTCAGGCAAGTTCCCATACTACATAGCTGGTAGATCTCCAATAGTTGGGAGATTGTACAAGGTGGATGGCCACCTTACATTGTCTGATTGGATATGAATTGTAAAGATTGTTTAGGTAGACTAGGGATGCACAGATACTTTTCGAGTACCAGTGCAGATACTTGGCATTTTCATGAGAACTACCAGGGTTTCAGTGGTTGCAGCTGGGACCGGGCTCTGGCGCTCCACCACTGTCCTGAAATCATTAGTCTGTATTGTTTTAGAAAAACTGTCACATGACAATAAACAAAAATGTATCAGTACTCGTACTTGTAAGTACTCGGCAAGTACCAGTACTCGTACTCGCAAAACTGGTATCTGTGCATCCCTTTATTTATATTTATAAAAACAAAATCGTACATTAAAAAAGAGATGTACAAATCCCAGGAGCTCCGTGTGCTCCTTACAAATGACAGCTGCCTACTAATTTTTGAATTTTTCTCTAGTCTAGTCTTGGAGCTCAAAAGTATCGGTACATGTACTCGTACTTGTACCGAGTACTGTACTTGGTATCTGTGCAACCCTAAGGTAGACCCTTGCTCCGCACAGCTCTTGGTAAATCTAAGGCAGGCTGCCCATGGATTCTACAATTTGGTTGTTATGTGCGTGGTCAGCTTAATGAAAGCTCTTACCATGAACATGCACGGTCGATTGGAAAACTCAGGTCCTTCAGCAGTCAGATCTCATGTCAGTGGTCTGGATATATTCTATATGACAGCCTGCTCGTCCTCTTGGCAGCACAAAAGTACACAGAAGTCGAGATCAGAGCTGTTCAGCCAGATCATACAAGTCAGACAGGTAGATGGGATCGTTGTCTCACCTGTAAGTCCAGAAGCCTCTCAATGATCCGGAGAGGATGGAGACGACGGTGCGTTCTGCAGACTGGAATGAATACATCGTCTGCCAGCCTCACCTGACACCTTCACTGGAAGAGCCAGTCCTGCTGGCAGCTTACCTGGAACAGTCCACCGTGTACGCGAAAAGGGGGAGGAACTCTGCAACTCAGGACAGGTAGAGACAATAGACGGATGATTCAGGGAGTTGTAAATCATTCAGGAAGAGAACACGGGAGGAATGGTACCATCACCTGCTTGTCTCTATCCAGCAAAGTACACTGTGTTGGATTCATTTGTCCGAGATATTAGCAAGGAATGGAAAGATGGGTTCAAGGTGTATGTTAGAGCAACATGTTAAAACCCCACATTCATGGATCATAATTTGGCATTGTTGAAAGACTAGTCAAAGCAGGGGAAACTGCACTTCAACGTGTCTAAATGCAAAGTAATGCACTTAGGGAAAAGGAATCTTCTGATAGATTACAATATTGGGGTACAGTGTTGGCCAAAACTACAAAGGAAAACGATTTGGTTATTTGCTTATTTCAGATGATTGCAAAGCAGTGTGGCCAGGCAGTGGAAAAAGCAAATAGAAATGCGGTGTGCATTACTAGAGGGATCTCCAGCAGGAGGAAGGAGGTCCCGATTCCTCTATATAGATCTTTATTATCACTAGAGGGATCTCCAGCAGGAGGAAGGAGGTCCCGATTCCTCTATATAGATCTTTATTATCACTAGAGGGATCTCCAGCAGGAGGAAGGAGGTCCCGATTCCTCTATATAGATCTTTATTATCACTAGAGGGATCTCCAGCAGGAGGAAGGAGGTCCCGATTCCTCTATATAGATCTTTATTATCACTAGAGGGATCTCCAGCAGGAGGAAGGAGGTCCCGATTCCTCTATATAGATCTTTATTATCACTAGAGGGATCTCCAGCAGGAGGAAGGAGGTCCCGATTCCTCTATATAGATCTTTATTATCACTAGAGGGATCTCCAGCAGGAGGAAGGAGGTCCCGATTCCTCTATATAGATCTTTATTATCACTAGAGGGATCTCCAGCAGGAGGAAGGAGGTCCCGATTCCTCTATATAGATCTTTATTATCACTAGAGGGATCTCCAGCAGGAGGAAGGAGGTCCCGATTCCTCTATATAGATCTTTATTATCACTAGAGGGATCTCCAGCAGGAGGAAGGAGGTCCCGATTCCTCTATATAGATCTTTATTATCACTAGAGGGATCTCCAGCAGGAGGAAGGAGGTCCCGATTCCTCTATATAGATCTTTATTATCACTAGAGGGATCTCCAGCAGGAGGAAGGAGGTCCCGATTCCTCTATATAGATCTTTATTATCACTAGAGGGATCTCCAGCAGGAGGAAGGAGGTCCCGATTCCTCTATATAGATCTTTATTATCACTAGAGGGATCTCCAGCAGGAGGAAGGAGGTCCCGATTCCTCTATATAGATCTTTATTATCACTAGAGGGATCTCCAGCAGGAGGAAGGAGGTCCCGATTCCTCTATATAGATCTTTATTATCACTAGAGGGATCTCCAGCAGGAGGAAGGAGGTCCCGATTCCTCTATATAGATCTTTATTATCACTAGAGGGATCTCCAGCAGGAGGAAGGAGGTCCCGATTCCTCTATATAGATCTTTATTATCACTAGAGGGATCTCCAGCAGGAGGAAGGAGGTCCCGATTCCTCTATATAGATCTTTATTATCACTAGAGGGATCTCCAGCAGGAGGAAGGAGGTCCCGATTCCTCTATATAGATCTTTATTATCACTAGAGGGATCTCCAGCAGGAGGAAGGAGGTCCCGATTCCTCTATATAGATCTTTATTATCACTAGAGGGATCTCCAGCAGGAGGAAGGAGGTCCCGATTCCTCTATATAGATCTTTATTATCACTAGAGGGATCTCCAGCAGGAGGAAGGAGGTCCCGATTCCTCTATATAGATCTTTATTATCACTAGAGGGATCTCCAGCAGGAGGAAGGAGGTCCCGATTCCTCTATATAGATCTTTATTATCACTAGAGGGATCTCCAGCAGGAGGAAGGAGGTCCCGATTCCTCTATATAGATCTTTATTATCACTAGAGGGATCTCCAGCAGGAGGAAGGAGGTCCCGATTCCTCTATATAGATCTTTATTATCACTAGAGGGATCTCCAGCAGGAGGAAGGAGGTCCCGATTCCTCTATATAGATCTTTATTATCACTAGAGGGATCTCCAGCAGGAGGAAGGAGGTCCCGATTCCTCTATATAGATCTTTATTATCACTAGAGGGATCATTTTTGTTGCCAGTCTCTGGGCTTCTTCTATCTCATCAATATTTTTTTGTAAGTGAGGTCACCAGAAGTGGACATAGTATTCTATATGAGTTTGAAATAATGATCTATAATAGAGTTGCCTTCAGATAGCTCTGTACATTGCAGGAAGAAGGAGGTCCTGATTCCTCTATATAGATCTTTATTATCACTAGAGGGATCTCCAGCAGGAGGAAGGAGGTCCTGATTCCTCTATATAGATCTTTATTGTCACTAGAGGGATCCCCAGCGGGACATAATAATAACAATCCACAGTCAGCACATCTGTGCAATTGAAGTCCCAGCTTCCTGTAGTGAATCGCGAGCAGTGTCTTGATCATACTACAATGTGTGATTAATGCTCACCTCCCACTGAAATTAAAGGGTGTGTAAACCTTGACAAGGAACATCTCCTATTTACCGGACTACTCTCCACTGCAACCATGACCCATGTTCCTGCAGCAGGAAGCAGCTTTTATGATTCCCTGTGATGTCATCTCCAAGCTTTTAAATTTGCATGGGAGGTCAGTTCCTATTGTTATAATCATGATCCCAGAACTACATCTTCCAAGAGCAGAGCCTTTGGAGTCAAGGTAGCAGAACTGTTCTGCTGGTAAAGAAAGCAGCATACGCACGTGAAGAGGGGCAGGGAGCAGTGGGGATAGGTGGAACTCTGTAATCCAGCAGGCAGGGGTGACAACACTGCTTGGGATCTCAGCCCAGCAAAGAAACTGTGTTGTCAGCTCAGGAAGTTAGGAGCTCACTGGATTTCCTGCAAGTCAACTGATATTTTCCTGTACTTGTTAGCAGCTCAGCTCCCCTTCCCATCAGTAACTCTGCAGCTCAGCTCCCCTTCCCATCAGTAACTCTGCAGCTCAGCTCCCTCTCCCATCAGTAATTCTGCAGCTCAGTTACTCCTCCCATCAGTAACTCTGCAGCTCAGCTCCCCCTCCCATCAGTAACTTTGCAGCTCAGCTCCCCCTCCATCAATAACTCTGCAGCTCAGCTCCCTCTCCCATCAGTAACTCTGCAGCTCAGCTCCCTCTCCCATCAGTAACTCTGCAGCTCAGCTCCCTCTCCCATCAGTAACTCTGCAGCTCAGCTCCCTCTCCCATCAGTAACTCTGCAGCTCAGCTCCCTCTCCCATCAGTAACTCTGCAGCTCAGCTCCCTCTCCCATCAGTAATTCTGCAGCTCAGTTACTCCTCCCATCAGTAACTCTGCAGCTCAGCTCCCCCTCCCATCAGTAACTTTGCAGCTCAGCTCCCCCTCCATCAATAACTCTGCAGCTCAGCTCCCTCTCCCAGCAGCGACTCAGCAGCTCAGCTCCCCCTGCTTCCAGCAGAGACTCAGCAGCTCAGCTCCCCCAGCTTCCAGCATGCTCAGCTCCCTCTCCCATCAGTAACTCTGCAGCTCCGCTCCCCCTCCCATCAGTAACTCTGCAGCTCAGCTCCCTCTCCCATCAGTAACTCTGCAGCTCAGCTCCCTCTCCCATCAGTAACTCTGCAGCTCAGCTCCCTCTCCCATCAGTAACTCTGCAGCTCAGCTCCCTCTCCCATCAGTAACTCTGCAGCTCAGCTCCCTCTCCCATCAGTAACTCTGCAGCTCAGAGAAACTGCAATATTTCCCTGAACAGGCCTGCTGTCAGTAAATGAACCTGACAAAGTTTTTTACCCGTTCCCTACTCTATTCAGAACTCTAAGTATTGGCTAGAGATACACTTTCAGGTAAGCGCTGCAATAATAACTAAAAATATGTATTTACTGCACATATACCGTCCTTTCCCCTTATAAAGAATGTGTATAGCCAAATTCTAAAGTCTCTTAGAAGCTTATTTCAACAATTGTTTTCCTTCTTTGTAAATCTGCAGCTTTCATTAATTAAATATTTGGTGGTCCCACCAGAAAGGTGCTTCTTGTTATCGGGTGACAACCTTCTATCCTTGTCTCCCAATTGCTCTTCTGTGTTGTCACCCGGGCTCCCAATGGAGACTACAAATGGCTCTTTCAACACACACTAAAATCAAAGGAAAGTCTATACAATAGTCCACCAGTTAAATGCTGCCTCTCCATTGTTCAGACTAGGGATGAACCGATACCAATACTAGTATCGGTATTGGTGCCGATACCGAGTATTTGGGCGAGTACTCATACTCACCCAAATGCTCTGATACCTTACCCGATACCAGGACTTCCAGTCAGAGGAAGATTTCCTTTGACCGACAGTGCCGTAGGAAAACATGGAGCCGGCTTCCTGGCCAATCAGCATCGATGCCCGCCGCACAGCTGGCTAAATGCTGATTGGCTGGGTAGCCAGTTTCCTGGGCAAATCCAATCAAGCCGGCCAAACAACATGGAGCCGGTTTCCCGGGCAATCAGGAAGCTGGGCGGCGTGTCACTACCAGCCGCCCGGGCTTCTTGATTGCCTGGGAAGCCGGCTCCATGCCAGCGGAAGCAGCGGTATGCAATGGGGAGGCAACATGTGACAGGTGGGTTATTGTGTAGCCATTCCTTCTATCCTAGGCAGGCATGGGTCACTGGTCAATGGTCCCCATTCGGAACCCGGCCCATCACTGGGGCACATGTGGACAGGAATATATGTTGTGTTTGGGGACCAGGCAAACGTGACACTGTCATGGCTCTGACACACGAGACCTCAGAAATGGCTCCGCTTACATATTCATGAATTCACATGAAATAAAAGCG